AAATTTTGGACTGAGAATTGAGAACACATTCAACAGACTTGAGAGTAATCAAAAGAAAGTTTGTGACTCAGAAAATTCGTCATTTCCCCAAAAGGTGAGTTTTCACAAATTTTCATTTAATTTAAAAATGTGATATAATTTGTTTAAATACTTCATTTACTTCTTTTCATAACTGTTTTTTTTATCGCTTTAATGGGATGGCTACACCACCCACATATCTGCTGTAATTTAAATATTGTATATAAACTGTTGTAATTTATTACTTTAAATCATCTACCCCACCGGATGAATAGTAACCTCCGGCGGTGAATTGCAACCTCCGGCTATTTAATTTTGTTCGCTTTCTATAGCTTAATTTCAGCACTATTGTATGCTATTTAGAAGGCTATTTAATTTATTTCAATGATTTATGTTTTAAATATCAAGTTTGTTTGTACTAACCAATTAATCAATTTCGCATAATCATCTATGCAACCTCCCTCCATTCTTTGCTTATTTCGATTAAAAAGTTGCGAAAAATTAAGATTGTGGTTCAAGTATAAGAAAGGAACTCTTCCATGCTTAATGGTTTAATCTCTTCGAAGGTTCATTACCAAAAGTAAAAAACACTCTATGCTTAATGGTTTAATCTCTTTGGAGATTCACTACCAAAGGCATAAAACGTTTTATGCTTAGGAGGTTCATTACCAAAGGTATAAAGCACTCTATGCTTAATGGTTTAATCTCTTTGGAGATTCACTACCAAAGGCATAAAACATTTTATGCTTAAGAGGTTCATTACCAAAAGTATACAACGTTCTATGCTTACTGTTTTAATCTCTTAGAGAATTTACTACCAAAAGCATAAAACGTTCTATACTTAACGGTTTGAATTCTTTGGAGGTTCACTACCCCAAATGTATACATGTTCTTATACTAAACCACAATCTTTTATTTTTCATTTCTCCTTATTCATCAGTATGTTTACTTTTAAGGGACTAATTGACCCTTGGAAATCACCAAGGAAAGTATCATTATCACTTATTATCAAGTTTGGATTTCAAGTCATTATCACTCAAGTTTGGATTTTTCTAAGTCATTATTACTCTTTTGAGTTTGACTAGTCCTTGTTGCACATCTTGAATTTGACTTGGAATCCCTTATCGCTTGTAAATAAGTTTGACTCTTCCTTTGTAATTCCCCTCGAAGAAAATTTTCTCGGGTTAAGTTGATACTCGTTTCTCTTTATTGCATTTTGGACTTAATAGACGTAAATATCACTTTTGCACAAATAGGAGAAAAGATAAAGAAATGGATAGGTAATAAAAAACGCTAATAAAATTGGTTAAAATTGGATTACAACCGACATAAAGAACCAATATGATTAATTGAATTTGGTCGGACGTTATACTGAATTTATTGAGTCAGGGCTTATTGTAATAAATTAGACAGCCCCTTTCATTTATTATTCATTCAGTTTTGTAATAATTATTTATTCGGACATTTGGACATTCGGACCCTCCTTCGCGAGGACAAATATGCAATAAGTTGTATGTCTTCCAACCCCCATTCTTTCTCCCTTTTATTTCACTACTTATGATGGTTAGGTTAGGGACATCATATTTTCAAATTAGCATTTCCATGACTTGCATCCATTCGTTTTGCATGCATAAAAGTTCGGCTCATCATATTATTTAAATGTCAAATTCAAACTCTTTACTTAAATACATGCTCTATCACATGCCTTAAATTGACTCGCATGCCATGCTAGTAGCCGAGCTTATTACTTGCACGTTGTATGTGTTGCATTAGCCATATCGCATTAATTAGGATCATGCATTTTTTCTAACTATTTATTTTCTTTTGACTCATCTTCGGACATAAGGTAAGTTTTTATGCTTTAGCATATTGCATAAGTGCGAATGCTGTCATATCAAACATACTACCATGAGGCTATCTGCTTATTTGATATACCTGTTTGAATGCCTATGGATGAAGGCTAATCACTTAAATTGGGATACTTGATTTATGTATATATGAGATCACCATTTTAAGTGATACATATTCAAAACACTTTTGTCAAAACAAACATGAAATCAAACGTTTCAACTTTTCATAAAATTAGTCTATATTTGTATGTTACATATAGAACAAAAACATATATTGTACATAAAAATCACATCATGATTAGTAGAGGCCGATCTTTGATCGGGTGAGTGGGGTATTCAATTATTGACCTTCCCCTCTCATACCTAAGTTCCCAAACCAAGACACTTTGGTAACGACGGACTAATGGCCTTTGGCACGAGTCATGGGTTTCCTAAATTTCTCAAAAATAAATATTTAGGTGGCGACTCTGATATCTGGCAAAGTAGTTCATTTTTGGCATTTGATTCAAACATCGATTTTCCAAAAGAAATTGTCGGATTTGGACTCTTGTTGTGTTTTCACTGTTTCACTTTGCACTTGTGAAATCAGAATCAGAACCAACACAAGTGAAGTTTGAACTGTAACGGCTATTCATTCTTCCGAAAGGGAGCGCAAAAAGTCGAGCTACAGTTTCTGGTGACTCTGTTGGGGATTTAGAGAACTTGACTTGAAATTTATGATGCGAATTTTTATCTATATTTATATGTTCTTTGCATTGCATTTGCATTGGTGCACCTAAGTTCCTATGTTTGCCATCTGTTATTCCTGAACGGTTTGCCGGAGGCTTTTCTACAAAGCTTGCCAAAAGGCTAACCGGGCATGGGCTCTGTCAAGTTGGGAACACAACCCTTGGATCTAGATTATCGATGTACCGCTTGATCCTCCTTTCATTTCTCGATGTTAGGTGTGAGAGGTATATTAGGTAATCTTGCTAAGGTACCCTTTGTGACTATTTGACCTAATGCATATAGTACGCTCTAGTGACCATTCAAATTAGGATAGGATGCTACCCGTACAAGATGTTATGAAACCACTTGCTTGACATAGTGCACCTATATCATGTCAAAATCTAGGACAGGGTAACCCTACCTCCTCATAGGGGTTGTTTTGGTTCTTTTTATGTGGTATGTGCTTTTATAGTGAAATATGCGGGGTTGTTCATAGCAGTGGTACAAATGAGCAATCAGTCTGAGAACAAAGTTCAATGGGGATCACAGTTCAGCTGCGTGTTGTGATTAATTTAGAATTGGGGCCGAAGTGATGTCCGTTTTTTTAAAATATGTATTCTTTCTTTCTTTTTGTTAGGTAGTTTTTCATCATAGCTTCAGAAAGACTCGATATCCCCTGAGTTGTTTGGACTCGTTCTCATAGGCTTTGTAAAACACAAGATCTTGTTAACGGTCAGCCAGTGTTAGTTTCTCTCCCGTTGGTCACTCGACGAAGAAAGAACAAACATGCATCAGCACTAGAACAAAGCACTCCACAAACACCTATTCGTGTCCGCAATTCACCAATATCTCACCCACCTATAAGAATGGCACAGAACACAAAATAAATTGCTGCCATGATGGCAACTTTGAGAACCATGGATCAAAGGTTGGCCGCACATGATGAAGTCATCGCTGATCTGCGACGCCCATCTGGGGCATCTGCATCTATTGTACATCCGGTCCCGACTGCCCAGCCAAATCCTGATCTCCCTCCACCACTGGAAACTTCTCAGGTCCCAGATCCTCAGGAGATGTTTCCAATAGCTTCAGCTTACAGACCTTTATGTTTATATTATTAAAGGGGGAACATGATATAGAAAATAAAAGAGGAGATATTATTTTTTAGGATGGGTTTGGGGTGGAGCATAATGAGAAATTAGATTAAAAAAAACTAAAAGATGGTCAGTAGGAATGATAATTTTTTCGGGTGGGCGGTGGAAAATATTATTTTAGAGAAAGAGAATGGAAGAGAGTTTATTGTTATAAAAAGATGGAAAAAAGAAAGGTGGTGGTGATTTTAACATGGCGTGGTGTTGGATTAGGAGGATGATTATGTTTTTGGGTGGAGGAAGATTTTTTTTAAAGACAATGTGGAATATATTATGTTGAGGAGTTTGTAGTGAGTTGGGGGAGGGACAAAGGTAGTGGAAAATAATATATTATCATGGGTTTGAGTGGGAGGGTTTTTTTTTAAATATATCTCTCTCTTAGAGGCAAAATGAAAGCTTTCTCTCTCAAGGGGATATACAGTTGGAGCAAATGTTCAAAGTTGATCTCTCTCTCTCTCGTGGGGGATGGGAAGAGAGCTTATAAAAAGATGGAAAAAAGAAAGGTGGTGGTGATTTTAACATGGCGTGGTGTTGGATTAGGAGGATGATTATGTTTTTGGGTGGAGGAAGATTTTTTTTAAAGACAATGTGGAATATATTATGTTGAGGAGTTTGTAGTGAGTTGGGGGAGGGACAAAGGTAGTGGAAAATAATATATTATCATGGGTTTGAGTGGGAGGGTTTTTTTTTGTGAGGGATGGGAAGAGAGCCTTTATCTAAGCAAAAAAAAAAGACACACACACATGGACATCGGCCATCTCTCTGTCTTCACAATGATCGGTGTCTGTGGGCACAAGTGGTATAGATTTTGATTGTTTTGATTGGGTGATATAGAATTTCAACAAAGGGTCAAAGGGGGCTCTCTCTCCTCTATCTACTACAAGGGCTGTTTCAGCTCGACTCGAGCCTGGTCAACTCAACCCCAAAGCCTTATCAAAACAAGAGGCCGACCGAGTCACTAAACTTCCCGGCCAGCCTCCGGTGTCTTTCTGGCAATATTCAGGCTATGTTACAGTCAATGAAACCCATGATTTAAGCACTGGTACCGGAGGCCATCATCAGCATGTTGGCGGAGGAGTGCTTCACCATTCCGGTAGCAGCTCTAGCTCTTTAGAGGATGATGGGCAAAGAGGGAGGAGGAAGAAGAAAGGGCTGACACAGAAGCTAAAGGAGAAGCTACCAGGTGGGCACAAAGACCAAACATCGCAGTACGACAACACAACAACTTCAGCAACAGACACCAAAGCAAGAAGGTTCAGTTAAAGCTACTCGCACACAACAACTCCAGCAAGCGCTGCCAAATCAAGAGGGTGTAGATAATTTTTCTATAAAGTTGGAGAAGAAGCTTTATGAAGATGCAGCAACCAAGTCAGATTATGCAGCAACCAAGTTAGATTTTAGGTCCAAAATATGTCAGAAGTTAATGCCAATGGAAAGGCTATATGATACCATGGTTCAGGAGGTTTTTGAACTCACTGGTTATAACAGAGTGATGGCTTATAAATTTCACGATGATGATGATCACAGTGAGGTTGTGTCTGAGATCACAAAACCGGGGCTTAAGCCTTATCTTGGTTTACATTACCCAGCAACAGATATCCCTCAAGCTGTACGATTTTTATTCATGAAGAATAAGGTTCGCATGATCTATGATTGTCGTGCAAAACATATGAAGGTGCTTCAAGATGATAAGCTTCAATTTGACCTAACCTTGTGCGGTTCAACCCTTAGAGCACCACATAGTTGCCATTTACAGTATATGGAGAACATGAACTCTATTGCTTCTTTAGTTATGGCAGTTGTAATCAAAAGTGGGGAAGAAGAGGCAACAAAGACTTCTTGGGTCCCTGATCCAGTGACTGGATACTACAGACCCGAGAATAAAGCTAATGAAATCGATATAGCTGGAGTTGCGATCGATAATACATGGGAAAGTGGTTCACGTAGGTTTCTTAGCCCACGGTTTTGTTAGCATATTACATGTGCTGCAAGTGGATTTGGTGGCAAGCTGACTGGGATGTTTGATGGAGGGAATTTTAAATTGTTTGAGGATTCACGAGGGTAAGGGCCTGAAGTGGCGGGCTTTTGAATGGTCTTCTAATAGTGTGAGTTTGTATACATATTATATATATACATTACTTTAGTGGGTTACTGGTTAAGAGTGTTAGTTCATGTTGTAATTAATTAGTTAATTAATTAGAATTTTATAATTAATTAATTAGTGTAATTAATTAGTTAGTTCTAATTTTTAATAATTAGTTAGAATAATTAATTAGTTGTGATGTTATAATAACTAGCTAGCATAGATAGTTAATTTGTTTTGTAATAGTTTAGCTTTAATTAGTTCGCTAGTTAGTTCATTCGGATCCTCCTGCGTGAGGGCAAGCAAACTTGTAATAATGTGTATGTCTTCTAACCAAACGTCTTTCTCCATTTTATTTAACTGCTTACAATGGTTAGATTAGAGTATCATGTCTTGTTTAGCATACTTTATGTTCACATACACTTGTATTGCATGCACCAAGGCTCGGCGCATCATTCTAATTCACATTGTCGTTTAAATACTTCTTTAAATACATGCTTAGACCGCATGCTATCAAATTATTTCATATGTCATATTAGTAGTTGAGCCTAGTAATTACATATCACATATGTTGCATTTGTCATATTGCATAGTTAGGAATCATGCATATTTTACTAACTTTGTTTTGTAGCTGTTCGAGGGACGTCGGTAAATATGTAAGTTTTTATACTTTAGCATCCCGCTTGCTAAAGTATCTTACCATGTGGTTATTTGCTTATGTGATATGTCTCCATGAATGCCGGTGAATGGAGGTTGTGTCACTGAATTTGGAATGATATTGATTTTCATGTTCGTAAACTCAATTTCTTTAAGTTGTGCATCTTCAAAACTCTTTTAAAAAATAAATGAACTCAAATTGTTCCAAGATGAATGACATAGTCTATACTTGTATGCTTCACATAGCAAATTTTATGATTCATTAAATAATCAGAACATGAACATATAAGAAAATAAAATGCATATCATGGTTAGTAAAGGCCAATCTTTTGATCAGGTGAGTCAGGATACTCAATTAATGACCTTCCCCACTCATACCTAAGGTTCTGAACCGAGACAACTTTGGTTACGATGAATAGTGGCCTTGGCACGAGTCACGAGTTTCCCAATTTTCTCGAAATAAATATTAGGTGGCAACTCTGAGATCTGATGACGCAGTCTATTTTTGAAAAAATTGCAATAAAATGGATTTTCAATAAAATTTGCCAAATCTGGATTCTCATCTATGTTTCACATTGCACTCGTGAGACTAGATCAAAAAAGTCGAGGATCCGAATTGTTTAACGCGCACGGGTACCCCTCGAGCATGTTACAGTTTCTGCCAACTCTGCTGGGGATTTTATGAAACCTTGACTCGAGCTCTATGATATGACTTTTATTTTCAATTATATGTTTATTACATTGCATGCATTGGTGCACTTGAAGCTCCTGTGTTGCCCAGATACTGTTGGGAGCACAAACACACTTTTTGTGACACTACACCCATCTCTACGTTATTTTAGAAGTCTTGTGTTATAATCTTTTGAGATCTGAAGGTTCTGAGACTTTGAAGAGAGGCTGTATTAATTCTTCTGATTTTCTAAGATCTTCATTGGTTATGACCCAAAGGATTCTTTGGTAACATCACATTGACTTCAACCTCTTGAGTAAAACCAACCTTGTGCATATAATGAACTTTAGTACCTTCCAACAATAGGACGGGATGCTCTCCCATTTCTAAGATGTATGATACTACTTGTTTGAATAGTGAAACCCTAGATCATATCAAAAGTTAGGACAAGATAACCCTACCCTCCATAGGGGTGTTTGTTCTCTTTCTTGCTATGTGCAATGTATGGGATCGATACAGAAGATCTCAAATTCAGATGTGTGGTTCAGGTATTTCAGTTTGTGGGGTTGGGTTCAATGTGTCAACATGAGGTAGTAGTAATCAGTGGTCAGTTAAGTCGAAACGCTACTAAAATTCTGATTGGGGGTCCTATTGTTTTTTTTGCAAGGTAGTTTGCAAACATTGCTTCAAAAAAGTCCGATATCCCACAAAGTCTACCAGTGTAAATAAATAGAACTTGTGGGTTATTCGACCATTTCTGTGATTTGGGAGTGACCACCTGTTGCTTGCACAGGCTTTGTTTTGAATGTTGTGGATGGCCCACACTTTGACTAGAAATTTGAGAATGGTTTTATTCTGAGTTCTGAATTGAGTATTAAGTCTAAGTTTGATTCCACCAAGTTTGTAGAGTTGGGATCAGGCTTAAATCATTCTAGTGAGTCAGAGTTTGTTGACTTCGGGAGTGCTAACCTAGACATTTCTGTCCTGCCTAGGTCTTCTTTGTCATTTTCTTTTGAGTCTATTGTCATTGCTGAGTCGTAGTTTCTTTTCAATAAAAGCGTCATAGATTCTGCCTACTTCTCTGTGCCTTTAATTCATTGCATTGACAAAAAATTACAAAACTTTTTTTAAAAAAACTCTGATAAAAATGAAGAGGAAGAAATTTCTCGGGGATTTGTAAATTTTAATCGACTGAGAGGAAGAGAGGTATGCTAAGCCCTTGATGAATGAAATCATTTCTGTTAATGTGGGTATTGAAAAGGATCCTGGCTTGGTCCAAATTGCTTCTATATTGTCTTCGTAAGAGTACGAGTGATTAGTCACTTTGTGAAAAAAATTCAAAAATTGTTTTACGTGGTCTTATGTAAACATGCCTGGAGTTGATCTTGAGATTGTACAGCATAGGATCCCTTTTGGCTTGAGGTCCGTCCTCCTTAGCTTTCAAACTGTGATTCAAAATATTCAATGGTTAACCAAAGTGTAAGGCTTGCATAGCCGAAATGGAGGCAGCCCTTGAACTAGGGGCAATGATATGATTCAGATTGAAAACAACCCTTGAACAAGGGGCAATAAGGTCGGATGTGATGTAGATTGGAAGCAGCCCTTGAACTAGGGGCAATAAGAGTGGATGTGATCAAAGATCTAAAACTGGATTGTTTCCTAATAAAGATCGCCCAGAAAGTCAAAACCCATAATTTGGGAGAAGAAGGGCAATCGACTTCCTATCCACTACACTAGGGGCAAATTTAGTCCCAATTAGCCTAGTCTCTGCATCATCATATCTACTGGTCAAGTAGAGCAGTCGTTCTTATAGATTTAGATGGCCTAGAGATTTTACAAGCAATCAACATGGACAAGCTAAAACGAAAGCACCATCATTGAGAGGCTCGCTGGGCTGAAAACCCGAAAGGGTGACCCAGGCAAAAGTTGGAGCACAAAAACAAAAAAATAGAAAGTGAAAAAAAAAATGAATGAAAAAATGAAAAAAATATAAAAATGAAAAATGAAAAGCTCGCAAGGTTGAAAACCCGAGAGGGCAGCTTTGGCAAAAGTTAGAGCACAAAAGGAGAGTGTCAATACCCGAGTGAACCTTAGCCGAAACTACGTATGGCCTGATTTCTATCTTTAGGATACGCAGGTAGCTTCATCTTGAAGTTCGGCCCTAATAATTTTTCAACTCATTCATCTTGTCCATGTTTGATTGGTGTATCTTTAGTCGACTTGGCTGTCCTATCCGCGTTTGTTTGGTTTTTGTTCGTTCTGTTCGGTTTAGTTGGTTCGATTCAACTTGGCTCCTTTCGGTTCAGTTTGGTTCGGTCCAGTTCCGATCGACTTCATTCGATTCGTATTGGCTCTGTTTGGTTATCACCATTGCTACAACAGAACCAATTCGAGGTTATTTGGCTTAGGGATATGCACCCCAATGGTTGATTCCAGATTAGTTGTGTAGTGACCATTTGCAAAAATAGGTTTTGATTATTTTGAATGAAGCTGACTAATTTTTCTCAAAAATTATTCCATTTTTGCAACACCAAACCATTCTTTGGACTAAAAAAAGGAAAATTTTCAGTGCTCACAGCCTGACTCACATGATTTCAAAATAAAAAATGGAATAAGTATGCTAATCCGACTCTCATGTCGATCAAAAAAATTTTACAAAAAAATCAAGAGAAAAAAAGTCAAGGCAATGAATTAGGGGCATAGTCGAGTTAGAGATTCTGTCTTCTCCACCACTCGAGTCAACTATTTACCGCCGGAAGTTGCTATTCATCCAGCGGGGTTTAATTTTAATTTTTTGGTCAGCTCACCAGTTTCAATTTCACTCCATCATGACAAACTGCAGAATCGCTTAGGCTCAATGATTGTGTCTCAGAGTCACGTTTTGTTTAAGTTCCTTTCATACCAGTCTGTGTAGATAAGTGTGTTTGGATTGTTTTGCTTCATTTTTCTTTCGTTAAGTCATTTTTTTTATTCAAGTTAGTATGGAATCAATGTCCAATTCAGGGTTCAAAATTCAATCATTCTCAAATTCAATCAAACAAAATTGTTTTCAAGCTCAAAGTGATATGCCAATTACGCCATTGATGTGCAAAAACGAAACTGATTTTATTGAAGTTAGGGGATGACATCCCTGATTGCAGAGACAACATCCCCAATTACAGAGATAACCCCAAAAAAAAAAGAGTTGAAGTTATACTTGCCCACTCCAACAAAAAAACAAAAACAAAAACAAAAACAAGCAAACCCATATATACAAAAAAAAAAAAACAAACAAACAAACCCAGAAAAACAAAATAAGAGAGGGATCATGTTTTGTTTCGATAACGGCCACACGCCGACCTCACTTACTCGACTCTCCCGCCGATCTTTTCCTCTTTTTTTCGTCTTGGGAAACCGTTGAAGGCCCTACCCCAGTGCTTCCACCATGAGAGTCGACTCCCCGTCGACCATTAAAGGCAAAGTACGAAGATGCCCCAAATTGGGCCATGGAGGTGGTCTGTCGTTTAAGCTCTTTATTCTCTGCCTTCAGTGCACAAATCTCTACACGCGCATCCTTGTACATGCGCTGGAGCAGAGAGAGTTGGTCATTGACCTGATGTACCTCACTTGTCTTGGTCTGTAGTCGGTGAGCCAATTTGGAGACTGCAGTCACCGTCTCCATGTAAAACTTCAGTGTGTAGTGGTTGGCTTCAATGTCAGATTGGGCTGCCATTATTTTC